TAGAAAATAGGAATTAAAAACTCACTATGCACTAATGTGTTCCTAATAATTCTGTATTAACTATATGGCTTTTACTAAATAAAGCAGTTGATTTTTAAAATAAACTCAAATTCAAGGCAGTTGTGTGCATGAAACCTTGTCGCTTTTGACCTCTGTGTGATTGTGTTAAAATGTGTGCTGTTATCAGCTGATGGACTTGATACTTGTGCATTGTGTAACTGTAGAGTGGCTAGAAAGACTTCTACCTTTTTTTTTTTTTTTTTCCCAAAATTTATAAAGCTCAAGGTATTCACCAGTAAATTGATTTTTTCTTTAAAAAATGAAGAGTGAAATTTGCTCCAGTTCAAGAGAACACACATCTTGGGATAAGTGACTGTTTTAAATCCTTATCACTTTATTGGTGGGTAAATTTCACTGGTAATTTGAGAGGGGATTTATAGTCTTATTCAGGAAAGAATACTTAGTGAAGTCAGAGGGACTTCATGCTTCATTGCTTTCCTGAATATATGGAAAGAGACTTCAGCATATGCTCAAATGTTTTCTTGAACTGGGAATTTAAAATACAATTAAAAGGCATTGTAGACATTATTAAAAATTCAGATTAGTGCTGTTACTATGCAGATATTTTCTTCAGCAATATCACACATTACCATAAAATTTACTTTTTCAAATAACCCCCAAATAACAGTCATTACAGTAATTGCATAGAAATATAGTCACTGTTGCTCCAGAAACACTGACTCTTTTAATGTCAACTTTTCACACAGCTACTGGGTTTTTTGCTTATCTCACTTCATTCATGAACATCCTAACTTGATGTTAGGCTATTTGTGGTAGAAGTAAATTAATTCTTGGTCCCACTGGTAGTAAGGTTGTATATTGCATAAGAAAGTTTATTGCCAATATTTAATGTTTCTGTTTGTGTAGTTCTCTTCACATGAACGCATTCTGAATTTTATATATATATATATAGCAGCAGGAATTTAATATATATATCAATAGTGTTGATGAGGAGATGTTAATATTTTTCAGTGTCATGGCTTCTTTCTTTTACAGGGATGGCTTTGTTAGATGCTGAGTACCAACAAATGAATAGCTGAATTTAAAAAATTAGCTAAATAAAGTAATAACAGCAGTACTAAGTAGCTTTCCATTATTTAATCCATACAACTTCTATATCAACATACTAAGTGTTACTATTATTAATTTTTAAATAGAAAAATTAAAACTTTATATAGGTAAATTCATATGCCTAAAATCTAAGGCTTATAGAATATTTCAAAAATATTAACAAAAAACCCCCAAAAACATGCATCTTGAATGATCTGTATAGCCTCTGGAAATAAAATAGCTCATTACCTTTTAATGATACAAACAATAAGCAAATCTTTTAATGGTGTCTGGTCATGCATTTTCTTCAATTTAAGATGCATTGCTTTAGAAATTGACAGATCTCTTTTGAAGGGAGTTTCCCTATGGCATACAATGGGAATATATAAACTAGTTAGAAATTGGAAATGTTACGTCTACTACTGAGCTAAGTTTTTGTCATACAAATATTCCCTGGATTTAGAACTGGGAATTTTTCTCACGTTCACCAAACACTTCATATATGATAAAAAGTTGGAAGGGACCCATCAAGAACACCAAGTCCAGCTCCTGTGCAAGACACCGCAAGAGTCACACCATGTGCCTCAGGGTGTTGTCCAAACATTTCTTGAATTCTGTCAGGCTTGGTGCTGTGACCACTTCCCTGGGGAACCTGTTCCAGTGTTCAACCACTGTCTGGGTGTAAAACCTTTTCCTGATATCCAAACTAAACCTCCCCTGACTCAGTTTCAGCTGTTTCCTTGAGTTCTGTCACTGGTCTCGGGAATTAAGCGATTGATACCAGCCCCTCCTCTTCCTGTCCTGAGGGTGTTGAAGACCACAGTGAGGTCTCCCCTCTGTCTCCTCACCTTCAGGCTGAACACACCAAGTGACCTCAGCCACCTCAGCCAAGATTTTACCTCCAGACCCTTTACGAGCCTCATGGCTCTCATTTAGACACTCTCTAATAGCTTGATGTCTTTTTTAAGTGGTGGAGTTCTCCACTGCCCCCAGCACTCCAGGTGAGGCTGCCCCAGTGCAGAGCATAGCAGGACAATCCCACCCCTTGCCCGTCTGGAAATGCTGTGCCCAGGATACAGAGTGGGACCTCCTGGCTGCCAGAGCACTGCTGACTCATGTTCAACTTGCCAGTGACCAGGATTGCAAAATGTTTTAAATATTTTTATTTTATGCAAGTTTAGAAATGGCTTCTCTATTAGCAGTAATGAACTGAAAATCTTTTTACTTATATAGCTATGTTTCAGAAATACTGAATTTTGTTAACCATTTATAGACAGTGGGAATGAGGCCCTAATTTAAATTCAGTACTGTTATTTAAATACAGACTGTTATTTGTGGCTAGCATTATCTTTATTAATTTGATTTTTCATTTCTTATGTAAAGTAAAAACAAAGAATGTGAAATAACAGTAAAGCTTTCAACTGAAAGCTAGAAGAATACAATGAAGTAATTAAAATTCTCATTTTCTTCACCTAAACTTATTTCCCAGAATGGCTTTGTTAATAACTAGAAAGTAAGCAAAATGGGATCAATAACTCATCTGCTCTTTGTTGTAATCATTACCTAGTAGTTTTCTCTTTTAATCTTTTATCTCTCTTTAGTCTTTATTCTGCATGTCAAAATTCTGGATTATTTGCTTCACACACTCCAAAATACAGTTCACTGATACAAGTATTGCTGATTTCAACTAAAATGTGTTCCAGCTTAAAGTTTTCATCCTGTGAGATAAAGAGGTTTGAGGGAGAGAGAGGTTAGAGAAAAAGGTCACAGTAGGCTACTAATGGCCTATTACAGGCTTTACAAAGCAATATATTATCAAGTGAAATCATGTAGACTCTTGGAAGAACGATTTAGGGCAGTTACTGTCTCAGCTTCTTTCACAGATGATATCCACTTATCCTTATCTTAAAAGGTGACTTTATAAATTAAACATAGTCATGCTGTAACTTCTTCACTTATTTATTCTCTGTTCCTGAGCAAAAATAAATACTTTTTTTTTTTTTTAACAGCAGAAAGTAGCTTTATTTTCCTGAACTTTTTCTAATCTGTTGAAGCAATAGGGTACATTCCTGTAAATTTCTGCTTTGGCTCTGACTACTCTGAACTGTGTGACTGCTACATAAGAGAGGAAAAGAATGAATTTTATACGGAGGCTGAGAATACAGGATGTTTTCTCTGGTTGAATTCAGGACTTTGGAGTCTTGGTCTACTTTTCTGGACAAGTCATCTTTCTAGGAAATAATTGCCACTTACAAATTTTAAGATAGAAAATGCATCAGAAATGGGAACTGCTCATCAAAGAGACTCGTGTTTCAACCTAAATGATTCTATGATTCTGTGTTACAGATGAAGCTTTTGGCACGAAGTTAATTAAATCTGTTTTGATGTTTCTGTGTTTATTTGCGCACATACATATAAATACCTACTAAACTGCAAAATGTGCATTGGCAACCGCTGTGCTATTTTAAACAATAAAGACCCTAAAATTTCAGTTACTGAATTAAATATTCTGTCATCATATTGTCAGTCCTCTGTGGCAACCAGCATGGAGTAGGAAATATGGTGTTTCAAGGCAAAGTTGACGTTTTTTCCCAAAGAATTACTTAAAGTTAACAGCATAATGCAGTGATTCCATGTGAAAGCATCCCAATATAGTGATACACATGCATATAAATAAATCTGTTGAGTAGGTTATTGACAGGCGTAATTAAAGAGTAACAATGCTTCATAAATTTTTTACAAGGCTTTCTCACAAGCCGCAGCATGATGGAAGGGTTACCTGTGTGTTATCCAGCTACACAGGAGAAAGGGAACAGATATGCGTTAGTTTAAAATGTTTGCCTAATGTCTCACTGTGTAGCAGCTCTCTGAATGTGGCTGCCTGTGAGCTGGCTCTCTGCACACTATGAACACAGTCACTCAAAGAGAGGCATGGTGCAATCTTCTGTCATTGTAAGCCCAAATTAAATCAACCCTTGAAGAGTTTTGAAGTTATAGAGCCAGAACGGGAAATGGTTGTTCTCTGAAACAGATCTGATTCTTCTTGGCTATGTTATAAGCCAATTCAGATGTTCCTCCTCAGCTATTTAATACAGCATTTTGCTTAGTTGCTTTTGTGCCTCCTTACGGCTACTCTTGGTAGGTGCCTGGAGTCCCTCACTCTGCTGTATGTTTGGGGTGTCTGCAGCTGTACCCCAAAAAAGCTAAAGATGAACAAAAGCCAAAGGGGAAACTATGGGAGAGCACAGGAAGGCTAAAAGTATTCACAGCTGGATAGGTGCTTTGCTCATTCTATGTCCAAAATACAAGCTGCCCTTTGGCAAGACCTAAGCCTGTGCTTATCTAAGATTTAAGGCTTAAAATAGGTTCTTTGCCTCTGTGTCTGTGATGAAGATTAGGTCTCTCATCCATGCTGTAGTGCTTAAGCTAAATTTAACTCTGAGTGTTGGAAAGACTTGCTCATAGGATTATGGCACAGCTGTGGAAACTACTGTTGTTTCGGTTGATTTATAAGAAAAGACTAAATATATATGCGTAAAAAAAATATTTATTTTTTTAAATAAACACATGCTAGGGAGGATGATTCCACACCTGAAAGAAGGAATTACATAGCTGAATGGAGCAAGTTCTTCAATAGCACAGGTCAAAGCCAGTACTCATATAGGAGGCTAATGCCCCCCTCACCACATTAACTGCATGTGTGGCTAGAAACACAATTGACAAGCACATAGCTAGTTTTATGTCTCGGTTTCCTCTCAAAAAAATGTAATTGCAATCATCTGCTAAGCAGTTATAGTCTGCTATGCGAAAGCTGTATGGTGCTGCTTACATTTCCTAATGCATTTGGCCATAAATTTATTTCAAGGTGTCTGCCTATATTTCTTTTCCAGGTACAGGTCCTTCGCAACGCAGGGGAAGAGGTGACCCTAACTGTGTCCTTTCTGAAAAGAGCACCTGCTTTTCTCAAACTGCCACTGAATGAAGACTGTGCATGTAAGCCTTTATTACTTGGCCAAAAGAACCCTCAATTCAATACCCATGAACACTTGCAGCTTCTGAAACTACCATGCATTAAGAGTGATTGACAGCAGCTTTTACAATCATCCTTACTGCCTAAATATGAGTTGCTCCATTTGCCAGGGCTTGTGTTAACATTGACCTCAAGAGAAAAATTGCTATCTATGGTTGAAAAACAGATAACCAGGCATTTGGCTGGTGTGAATCAGTAAATTTGCAGGAAAAACAGTAGAATTACATTAGTTTGCAATAGCTCACATCCTCATGCAGAGTATTTAAAATCAATTTTTCGGGCAGCATCAGCTAGTATTTTAGTCCCAGGGAATATTTTCTAGTAAATGTGAAAATGAGATTTTGTGTATATATTTAGAGGACTTAATTTTGCTGTTTAAAATTCAGAGGCTTTGGTGGAGATGTCTGTCTACCTAAGGATAAATTACTCTGGAATGGTAAGTATTTTGTTTTAGTCCAAACTGAGTTGTAGTGAACTAGACCCATGAGAGTCGTATGGAGACAGCTGTCTTCCTTTAATTATATTAAATTGTAAGTGTGGATGCATAATTATAGACAATTGCAGCATATCTAAGCATATTTATATATCAGCCTGTGCCTTTTGCAACCTCTGCTTTCCTTTTGCTTTTTGCTCCCTAAGAGTGTGAACTAAATTGCTCAAGTTTTAAGCAAAAAAACAATAAATATTTGATTTCAATACTTCTAGCCTTTGATTTTAAATTAGCAGGAATTAAATAATCTAAATAATGAAATAACATTTTATACAAACATTTGATGGAATATTGTCTTTTTCTCTTGTCTATGTATTAACTTTAAATGAAACAAGAAAAAAATCAGAACACTGTATTGAATAATAATGTGTCCCGGTACCTCTGTCCCTTTTATGAAAGGCTGTGGTACCACAGAGTAGCCTGAGTGATGCACAGGAATGTGTATTTGCATGGATCCTGTCATGTCACTCTTGAGGTGTAGCACTGTAATTTCTTAAACCATTACAAGAACATTCAGAACTGTAAACTCCACTGAGAGTAACAAAATGGTTATCTGATGAGTTCCTTCAAGTAAAAACCAACAGAGAAGGTACACATTTCCCTTTTATTATCAAATTTGAAAGAAATGTGTGATTTTTCTTGTCAAACAGACATTAACTTTCTTTTTTAATCAAAGCACTGGGAAAGTTGTTCTTGAGCTTCTATTTAGCTTACAAAGACATTCCACTCAAGCCAGAAGACTGATACTGGCTGAATGGAGAAAGTAAATTAATTATAATTATAATTGCTGTATATGATAGAAGTTATTAGGGTGTGGGGAGAATGCATACATACACATACAAATTTGAATTATGTCATCATAGATGAATGAAGAATTTTCTTGTGAATTTGTGTTTGTATTTGTCTTAGGTGCCCCCAGTGACCAAAGCAGTGGCACATCCTCTCCCCTCTGTGACAGTGGTTTGCATCTCAACTACCACCCCAACAACACGGTAAGAGCTTGAATCTCCTCAGTGGAATTAAACAGAGGAATATTTATAGTATAATAACTAATTGAAGTACAAATAAAGGACATTTAACAGGGAGGAGCTCTACCTAACTCTGGAGACAGACAGTTCTGTAGAAGGGAAAAAAAAAATAGTCAGAAATTATGGCTGGGAATTAAACTGTCACAAATTATTACAGCTGAGATTATACCTTGGTACATGTGATTGCTGTTTACATGGGCAGTAGGGACTTTGCAAAAGGTTTTCCATCTACATTTTTTTCTCTGCATAGGAATTAAAACTCCTTAAATTAAAATATATCTATTTATAAAAAAGGAAGAAACTTTTTGAGACTAATTTGCATTACTAATATTGCATGCATTATCTAAAGTTTTTGGCAAAAGATGATTAGGTGCCTATTTTTAAGGTGAGAGTGTTTTACTTCTGGTAATGTGTACTTAAAATCTTACCCGAAGTGGGATAACACTATGGAAAAGAATGTCTCTGGGATAAAATGCTACAGATGTCTGATCAGATATCTACTAAAAGATGCCTTTGAAGTGGAACAAGGGACTTTAAATTTTTTTTTAGCCAGAAAATGCAAAATTTCCTTTATTTTATATAGTTTGAGGGTTTTTGTTGAGTATTTGGTTTTGTGATAGATGAAAATAGAAAAAGCACAGAATAAATAAACCAGTATAGATTATAATTTAAAAAACAAATATTTAAAAAGCTGAAATGTAAGCCATGCTGAGCAGCCACTTCTAAATTTCATCTTGTTTTATTGTACGTTCATGTTTTTCTATTAAAGGTTTTAAATAGCAGCCCACAGATTTAAATATCAATACCACAGATTTAAACACAATTATCATCTGGAAAACCCTTCAGAAATATACAAATTTTAGAAAGTGGAAGTTATAAATAGATAACATCAATAAAATTTATATCAAATAACAATAAAAATAGATGTAATTTGTACAGCATCAACAAAATCAGACCTTTCTCATGTATCTATATAGATATGAATGTATGTATGTAAAAATGCTGTGGCAGTAGATGCTAGGCTGATTTATTCAACTAGCTGCTATAATTCCAATTTTGCTTTTATGATAAAAACATGCTTTTATTTGTGAATTCTTTTTTGCAGGTGTCAAAGCTTATCTAGATGAGCTCTAGTTTCCATTTGAACTAGAAATAGCTCAAATAGAAATAATTAACTGAAATAATTAACTGAAACCAAGTGTTCTTCTTTCAATTTAAATAATATAATCTAGTATCATGAGTCTGTAATTCACCCTAAATTAAATTTTCTAGTGAAGAGCAAGGTGTGGTTCTTATGTGTCCGCTTGTCATGGGAACAGAGTTCTTCATAAAACCAAAGGAGCCCTCAATATGAATTCCTAAGTTACGTACAAATTCTATGCCACAGCTCTTCCTTTTTCTCAGAATATTTTCTAGAAGGAGTTCTGTCAGCTGTGTAAACGTGTGATCGGTGAGCAACTGGCTCATGGTTGGACACAAAGAGTTATGGTGAACAGAGTGAATTTAGGCTGGTGAATGGTCACTAGTGGGGTTCTTCATGGCTGTATCTCACACCCAGTGTTCATCAGCATTCTGATCAGTGACTTGGGTTCAGGACTCAAAGGGATACTAAATAAGTTTGCAGTTGATACAAAAATTTGGAGGAACTTTTAACTCCCTCAAAGACAGAGAGGCTTTACAGAGACCTTGACAAGTTTGAGGGCTGAGCAGCCACCAACAATATGAATTTTAACAAGGGCAAGAGCTGGATTCTGCACCTGGGAGAAGGCAACCCTGGGTGCACACACAGAGTGGGGAATGAGAAGCTGGTAAGCAATGTCACAGAAAGGGACCTGGGGGTCCTGGTCACTGGCAAGTTGAAGATGAGCCAGCAGTGCCCTGGCAGCCAGGAGGGCCAAGCGTGTCCTGGGGGGCATCAGGCACAGCATGGCCAGCTGGGCAAAGGAGGGGATTGTCCCGCTCTGCTCTGCACTGGGGCAGCCTCACCTTGAGTGCTGGGGGCATTTTTAGGTGCCACAGTATAAAACAAATACAAAGGTCTTAGAGAGCTCCAAAGGAGGTCAACGAAGATGGTGAAGGGTCTGGAGGAGAAGCTGTATGAGGAGAGGCTGATGTCACTTGGTCTGTTCAGCCTCGAGAAGAGGAGACTGAGGGGAGACCTAATGGCAATTACAACTTCCTGGTGAGGAGAAGAAGAGAGGTAGACCCTGATCTCTTCTGTGTGGGTACCAGTGACAGGGCCCAGGGGAATGTTGTGTCTGCAAGGTTTAGGGTGGATGTTAGAAAAAGGTTCTTTGCTTAGAGGATGATTGAGCACTAGGACAGGCTTCCCAGGGAAGTGGACACAGCATCAGCCTGACAGAGGGCAAGAAGAGTTTGAAAAAAACTCTCAGGAACACTGTGGGATTATTGGGGATGTCCTGTGCAGTGCCAAGAGTTGGGCCTGATGAACCTTGTGGGTCCTGTCCAACTCACATTCCATGATTCTGTGACTTACAACCATAGTCTTGTTTCCTATTTTATAGTCTTGTTGATTCATATGAAGGAGACTTCTGACTCAGAACTTGAAGTAGAAAAGACTGGTTTTGGTCTTTTGTCAACAGTTCACAGTGTTATGTAGTCTAAAGATAGGGTTAACATTTTTCTTGTAGCCATATCTAGGCCTACAGTTTGTATCTGAACTTTTACTGCATTTCATCTTTTCCCCAAGTTTAATCACAGGTGAAGAAAGATTCCCAAAATCAGAGAGAAAACATTAAAAATTGAAGATGTTCAAAAGAACAACCTAGTGTAGTCTTCCTAGCCAATAATTTATTTATTTTTATTGAAGCTATGGAATTTTTCACCAGAGATTCAGTGTTTTAAATAAGTGAACTACCTATGAAAAGCCTGCTGCTCAGCTAACATATTTACTGTGATATTTTGTTTCATATACATAAAAGATATATGAACATATACGTAAAAGTAAAGTTCAAATTTGTAAAGCTTTATAATTCCATAGGTCTTATGCAACATGCATACTCTAGAAAAATAGAAGGTATACTTATTTTTTGTAATATTTATCTTATAGAAGATACCAGTGTAAAAAAATATGAAGTTTGAGTTTAAAAAGAATGTAAATCAGCAGGTTTAATTTTACTTATATATTGATATACCGTCACTTGTTACTTGGGAGAAGCTGTCAAGCCCCACCTGGCTACGGCCTTATTTCAAGTAATGGTGGAGAGCGATAAGGTCTCCCCTGAGCCTTCCATTCTCCAGGCTAAACAACCTCATCTCCCTCAGCTGCCCCTCAGAGACCCTTTTCCATCCAGACCCTTTTCTGGACATGCCCCGACACCTCAATGTTCTTGTCGGAGTGAAGGGCACAAAACTGAACATGGCACTCAAGGTGAGGTCTCACTGGTGCTCAGTACAGAGGGACAATCACTGACTGCCCTGCTCCTGCTGGCCACACTATTGCTGATCCAGGCAAGGATACCATTGGACTTCTTGGCCACCAGGGCACAGATGGCTCATGTTCAGCTGCTGTTGACCAGTACCCCCATGTCCTTTCTCATTGGGCAGGTTTCCAGCCACTCTGGTGTGGTGCTGCCTGGGGTTGTTGTGACCAAAGTGCAGGACCTGGAACTTTTTCATGTGAATCTCAGACAATTGGCCTCAGTCCTTTTATTCAGCCTGTCCAGACCCCTGTGCAGTGTCTTCCTACCCTACAGGAGATCTACCAACACTCCTACTCAAACTTGAAGTCATCCGTCAGCTCAGAGTGCACTTCATCCCCTCTTCCAGATTATCAGTATTAAATATTAAATAGTGCTGGCCCCAACACTGAGCCCTAGACAGCACCAGTCATGACTGTCCATCAGCTGCATGTATCTCCAGTCACCACCACTCTCTGGGCCCATCCAGCCAGCCAGATTTTTACACAGTGAACTGTGCACCCATTGAAGCCATGAGCAGCCAGTTTCTCCAGGAAAATGCTGTGCCAAGGGCTTTACTAAAGTCCAGGTGACAACATCTACAGCCTTTCCCTCATCCACTAGATTGGTCATCTGGTCATAATTGGGGATCAGGCTGGTCAGGCCGGATGTGCCTTACATAAACCTGTGCTGGCTGACCTGATTCCCTGGTTGTCCTGTATGTGGTGTGGGATGGCACTCACAGTGATCTGCTCCATGACCTACCCCAGGTCAGACTGACAGGCCTGTAGTTCCCCAGATCCTCCTTCTTGCCTGTCCTGTAGATGGGCATCATATTTGCCAATTTCCTGTCAATTGAGACCCTGCTGGTTAGCCAGGACTGCTGGTAAATGATGGAAAGTGGCTTCCTGAGCACTTTCTTCACTATTCTTTAGTGGATCCCATCTGGCAACATAGACCTGTGTGTGCCTAAATGCTGCAGCAGATCACTGACCACTTCCCCTGGTATTATGGTGGCTTCACTCAGCTCCTAATCCCTGTTTCCCAGCTCAGAGGTTTGCTACCAGGCAAATAACTAGTCTTACTATTAAAGACTGTAGTAAAGAAGGCATTAAATACCTCTGCTTTTTCCTCGTCCTTTGTTGCTATAAGAAGGCACTTCAAAGAATCGTGCTATTTCAGAAAATTAACATCATCGTTAGCACTATTTTATAAAGCATTTTATAAAGAAAGAGGGGTTGTATTTTTAGAAACAGATGTTGATAATTTAACTTTTTATAAGCATGCAAATCTATATTCTTGAAAAATACTGGTCAAATTAGACTCTAGATATTTATATACTCTTTCTTTTAGATATGATCATAATCATGATAAAGTTCAGTCTTAATATAAGCCATGTCTTCTGTAAGTAGGTAAAATTATTCATCACAAGCATGTAGTTTTGACAATTTTGACAATTTTCATCGCATGTTAAATTCCATTCCCAATTACCAGGTTTTGAGGTGATATCATTAGAGAAGATATGTATGTAAATGTGTACAGAGCCACAGGAAACAACTGAATTATGGTTGTATTGTGAGTAATTTAGAGATTCTATTCAGAATCTTTGCAGTGCTCACTAATAACTAATGACAAATTATTTAGGAAAAATGGAACACTGCCAAATTAAATATAGAGTCTTTGAAGTCTATCTCATTCTTTCCAAATCTGCTGAGTACTTACAATGATGTTCAAAACTGAGAAGGACCTTTTAATGTTTTTCAGGATACATTATCATGTTCCTCATGGCCAGCATCCCCAGGACTTAGGTGGGAGAAAAGGTGGTGTGATCTTCGATTAATTCCACTTCTTCATTCACGATTTTCCCAGTACCTTCCAGGATCAGATTTGTGCAGGTAAAGAAGTTCTGAAGGTTGAAACTTGAGTTCTTGGTTGACAGATGCATGCCCTAGGGAGTTGCCTTGTTGGAGAAATTGCATTATTATTTCCACGGCAGCTGACAGAGACATGAAATATAGGAGCTTTCATAAAGGTCCTTCTAGGTCTACCTTGGCTCATATTCTCCTCTGACATCATCCCAGGTATGTAGGGAGATGATGGGTGATCTTTCCACTTGCATCTAGGGCTCAGCACATTTTGCAGTTTGAGATGAAACACACGTCATCATATTTAATAGCTGCTAATGCACCTGTCTTCAAAAGCTTCTTTCTAAGTTGCTTTTTTTTTTGTGCTGTTGATTTTTACAATGCATTATGGCATTGAGCTCTGCAATGTGATAGTATTTTTAAAATGTGTTTCCTTTTGTTCGTGTTAGATACATCATCTGATACCTACACTGGGTGAAATAATCTTTTTTGAGAGCAGAAAGGACTGGCTGCCCTATGGGGAAGATAAGCCAAGAGAGAGGGTGTCAGTGAGGCTGGACAAAGCATTGCCTATGCAGGCAAAGATCCTATCCCTCTGCTTCCCATGGAGGAACAGAGAAAGCTTAGGGACAGTCTTCAGAGAAGTCCGTCATGGTCAGATGGGGCTCAATTTAGGCTGGGAGGCCAGCCTAGAAGTCCAAATCAGTGGGATACATGTCCAGGCACAGAAGTACCTGCAAGCATACTCAGACAAGGACCATAAGCAAGAGCCTGAGCTCATAAGTATCTCCCAGATCTTGTACTTCTTTGCTTTATGTTTATAGCTACAGTAGGGACTTTTTTGTTGTTGCTTCCATATAGCTAAGATTATTTTCTTCTGTGTTTTACTTTGCATGTGTTAACATTGCCAATTTTTTACAATCACTGGGATAGCTGTCCAAAGCTCAGACGCGGGTTTAACTTTATTGCATCATCGTGATGGGTTGACCATGGCTGGCTGCCGTGTCAACCAAGCTTCTCTATCCCTCCCCTTCTCAACAGGATGGAGGGGAAGGAAATAGTATGGAAATAATCTGGTGAGTGAAGATAAAGGCAGCTTAATAAAGCAAAAGCAAAAGCCACACATGGAAGCAAAAAACCCAAAATATTTGTTTTCAATTTCCCATCAGCAGTTGATGTTCAGTCACGTCCTGGGCTTTGGTACATGTAGTAGTTGCTCTGGAAGACAAGTGTCATAATTAATGTGCCCTCCCTCACTTCCTTTTCCCTAGCTTTCATTGCTGAGCAGATGTCATATGGTATAGACAGTTTGGGTCAGCTGTCCTGGCTATTTGCCGTCCCAAGATTTTGTTTCCCCATCCTATTGGTGAGGAGAGAATGCTGGAGCAACAGCTTTGATGCTGTGCCAGCGCTGCTTAGCGGTAGCCTAAACTTTGTTTCGTAATCAGTATCTTTGTAGTTACCAATGCAAAGCACAACACTATGAGGGCTGCTGTGGAGAAATTAAAATTAATCTCAGAAAGACCCAATACAGTCCAAGAACTTGACATTGTTTAATTTAATACAATCCTAATAAATCAGAAGAAATCAAGAGGGAAGACAAAAATATTCTGTAATGATTACTGTTTGTAAAGCAATGAAATAGAAATGAAAGCAACTACAAAATCCAACAAGGCAAGTATACAAGACCATACTTGTTAAAAGTTTTAAATGTCTAGCTATTGTATGGATTCATCATCTGTGTAAGACTGAACTTCTCATACTGAAATACTCCTGTGAGCTCTAGTATGTAAAGACATTATCTGTAGGAAAGCTGTGTACTGGTACAGAGCCGCTTACTCCATAATTTATTCTTCTAATCAATCCCCTAGAAGTGGATTTATAAAACCCCGAGAAACTGGGGGAAGAGAATCTGTTTGGCATTTTTGTGGAGTTAATTTTTATTTCTTATTGGTACTCAGTAAACATTTGGAAGTTGCACAAAAGTTGTCCACTGCCTCAGCTGGTTCTTAGAGCTGTTGTTAGAATTACACTGCCTAGGTCTGCCAGCCATTTCTCCTATTCACAGAGCTGAAATTAATGCAGGTGAGGCAATAGTTGTTGTAGATCGTTGTGGAGCTAAAGCCAGCCAGCAGCTTTTGACCAGTAAGAGCAGGATCATATTTACTTGGCTGCATGAACCTTGGTCTGTTGAGGAGCAATGGCTGTCCCAGGGAGGCAAGGTGTCAACCAAAGGCTACAAAGGCTTCTTGGCTGTGCTGAGCTGGAGCAGGATAAAGTCACCAGAGAGGCAGGAGGTGTTTTACTAAATTCTGTGAAAGCCTTCAGCTCTATCTTTTAACAATGAAGCATAAAGCACCCAAAATCATAGCAGTCAAATCTGAGATCTGTTCTACTGTATACTTCAGAATAGATATTGAATTGAATAGAACTGCTTATATGGAGAATTAGCACATAAGCAGCTGTACATAGATCTAGAGTTTTAAAATTCAGTCATCTGCATCAATAAAAAAAAAGCTTAATGTTCATATTATAGAACTTGTACATAACAAAGGAAGTGTCTTAGGTAGTAATGATATTCATGAGATTTGAATTTCTAGAAAGTAAAAGTGTATTAATATGAAACAAAATACCTGAACTTGTACTCAAACCTTGAAAAACTACTCTGATAATTTTTTCCTTGTGTCCTTCTATTCTGTCTAACATGAAGAAGTAAGTCTTAAAAGACCCAAATACACAGGATGCGTATGAGAGAGGAAGTGGGTTTTTCTTAAAGCACAGAATCAACATTTTATGTTGCTAGCAAGACAGCTTACTTTAAATTGCTGTAAACATTTTTAAATGTTGCTCCCTCTCTGAATTTGTTATGAGAGAAAGGTAGATACTTTTTATAAGAGACTGCTAGAAACATAAAAGAAAGGATATTAAAAATAGTATAAGGAAGCAACATGAAATGAAAGCTAATTCATTACATTTTCCATGGTTAGCATTTACAAGCCTGTTTTCACTGTGTAAAGCCTAATAACTTTTTGTATTTCATAGTTTTATTTGGAAATATATTGTTCTCATATACAATATTAAATCTCATAGTCATGTTGTAGCTTTTCCAGTGGAATGGCTGAGATACATAAATTCTGGAGGGTATTCATACAGAATTCTAGAAGACACTCAGGTTAATCATGCAAAGCTTATTAGCTTCAAATATGGGTTTTGTGTTCCAGAAGGCCCAGAACCTGAAACATTTAGATAAATAAGTGTTTATCCATTGTCAATTTTGTTTGTGTATTATAAAGTGATTAATCTACTATTTGTTCCATTTAGTACAAAACATCTACTTAATACATATATTTTCAGGTCTGCATGGTATTATGGACTTGGGCTGATAGACTTATTCAAGAAAATACTATTACAATTATGTAAGGCTATCTACTTCCAAGACACATTCAAAAGTAATTTATTAGGTGACCATGTATAATACTATTGATATTTGGTATTGATACTTGGGTAATAACAGTATGGATGAATGATTTTTACTTGCACAGATCAAATTCCTAGGAATAGCAGGAACAATCTGATACCCCCAAATGCACCAGGTTCACTTTGTTTGTAGGTAAAGGAAATTTCTCCTTGAGGATTGAATCTCAAACATATTGAGGTTTTTGTACTTGTATTAATGTTGCACGTTAATAGATCTCTTGGATCCCTGCTCTGATTTATGATAAACTGTGCAGAAACAAAGCAAGTCCTGAAATTAGTGCTACTTTTCTAAAAGAGATCAACAGTTTTAAGCCCATGCTATGTTCTTCCTGTGAGGATTTAAAAATTTATTCTGGAAAAAATTGCTATTTATATTTATATACATCTAAAATAAAGGGTAGAATAAATAAATACTAACAACATTACCTGAAGATTTTTTTTAATAAACCTTCCTCAAAACTTTACCAGAATTGTTGTGAAAATGAATCTCTGAAAGAAGTCTGTCTTGGTTAGTGTTTTTGTGAATTTAAAGAAAAATCTTTACCCCTGGGAAAGACAACTAAACTGGTGGGTTTAATGAAACCACAGAACCCTACGAGAACGTGTCAGTATAAGCCTCATGATCCTGCAGAAGCTGGTTCTCATGCTAGAACAGTCAAAGCAAAGGCATGGCTCTAGCTCATTTTTATTGCTTCTCCTGAGTGAAGAAACAGTCTGTTCTCAACATGGATGGAGTGAAGATAAATATTAACCTTACATTCTCTACAGATAGAATAAAATTTTAAGAGGTAAAAGACCCCAAAAAAACAGCTTTTCAAAATCGATATCTGTCTTCAGATGCCAGAAACTGTCATTAGTGACACTCAGTTTTACCCTAAAGATAACAGGCACTTTGCTTGAGCCATTCTCAAAGAATCTGAATAATGTACTTAAACTATGAATTGATCATTAACAGTTGGGTTTGTAGCAGAAAGTCAGCAGTGGAACTTGGTATTCTCTGCATATTCAGTGATCTCCTAATCTGGGATACGCATTATTATTGACGTTTTTTTGGTTTTGAAGACAGAGACCTGTGAGCTTTTAGCAAGAAAGGCTATTTACTGAAGAAATTAGGTCAGTTACTGCTTTAGCATCTGAAAAATTTTCTCTTGTTCTATAATTGCTCAGTGCCTGCTAGTGAAAAATCAGTCTATAATGAGTTATAGATTTATGTACATGTGCCCAGATTGGTGCTGGGGGTAGAGGCAGATGTAGGAGTGTATTTTGTTAATGATCCTGTATTCAGAAATGCAATTGGAAAAATCATTAATGCTACCTGATCAATTTTGACTTCTCCAGGTTTTCAATTGGTAGTTTAGAAGAGAAACAAAATTTTATAAGCTTGAGCAACCAATAAGGGGCTGCTCCAGACAGTAATGCAACTGTGTTTAGACACTGTATAATAAAAGTAAAACAAAGGTGTTGAGAAAAAGATGCTGGTATTCACTTAATTTACCAAATTATTGCCTATGGTTTACAATGTACTTTCCTTCTCTTTAGCCTGCTGTATTAAAATATTAAGTCTTAGATATGCATCAGCTCTTTCACTTGTTCAGCTTCTGAAGTTGTACAGCCTGCTGGTCAAGGATCTGTAGAGCTGGTCTATGGAATATTTTTATAGCCTTATGGAAGCTTAATATTGTCTGAATTGAGCTTTTAGCATGATTTTTTTTAATATGGCAAGTATTTATGAAACAGGAAAACCAGCATTTTATCAGTGTTTACTGGCTGACCTTCATTGTAATTGAAAGAAAAGCATTTCTACAAGTATTGTTAAAATGATGTGCTAGAACTGATAAAATTTTCTTCTGACCTGATCTGTTATGATATGTCTATAGGCAAAATGCGTTCCAAGTAATTGCTGTGGATGGGGTTTGCAGTGGAATAATTCAGTGTCTCTCTGCTGAAGACTGTATTGACTGGCTACAAGCAATAGCAAGTAATATTTCCAACCTCACAAAGCACAATGTAAGTATGGATCCAAGTAAGCCAGAAGGTTTCCCAGTCATATTTGATTATAACTGTCATAAAAGCCTAATGGGCTCACACACAGAATTATCTGCATATAAACAATGCTTGAGGCTGTCTGAGAGAAGTCAACTCAGGTTTGTCGTCAAATCAGACTCTGTGAGAAGTCATTGAATGGGAAAATATTCTTCCCTACAGTCATATAGTTCACTTCATCGCTATCAGAGTTATTCACTTCTTAGCAATACCAATTAGGATTAGAAGCAAAGACCAGACACACAGGAGGAAGCCATGTGTGATGCAGGAACACATTTGAAATACAAAAATTCTGTACTTTCTTCATAGTACATCTCTACAGAAAGTGGTATAACCAGGTCTGAATTAAAATTTAGGTCTGTCTAGGTATAATTTATCATGATGGGAAAGGCAAGGTGCTTCTGTGTTGAAGATTAGAAATGTTCATTATCAGCAGTGATTAAATGCATGTATTCTTCATGAACTGCACTCTTACCATTTGAACTTGTGGGATAGATACCACTTTTTATTGAAGCTGGAATAAATGTTATGTAAAAGCTTTAGCAAATACCAAGTTCAATTGAGAGGTCTTCTGGACCTGCCTTGGGTGTGTTTACATTTAAAAATGAACATGTAGTTCGTTCATATCATTCAATAACATGCATGATACCTTCCCTGGTTTTCCTCAAAAACAGAGAACACATGGGGAACTCCATTATTTTGAACTGAGTTATAACAAGGAAGCCCTTGAGGATTTAATTTATATTTCCTTAAATCTGCTTTAGCTTCCCAAATCTGTCTCTGAATTTGCTTTTGTTTCAAATATAGGGAACACATTGAAGGAAGTTGTATTTTATGAAGATTTATAATCAAGATGCAAAACTGTGTTCCATCTGGCAGCAATATGTAAAAGTCATTGTATTATAAAAACATGACAGACATGAATTCATCTGCCATCTGCAAGCTTCTATGCAATACCAGCGAACTTTGTGGCTATTTATTCATCCTTAAAATGCTGTTGCTATGTAGAACCTTTCTTGTCTCACTAGGCATCCTGACAATTGAGGCATCTGGGTTTTTTTCTCTTTCCATCTCTGTTTCAGTCTACTAGTGGTTCTTGCTACTTAAATCAGTGGAGTTTTTTGCTTGTAACAATAGACAGAGGCACCCAAATTTTACAGGTGTTTTGAAGCACTTCAGCTCTGATGAGACTATAATTATAATTACTTAGCATAACTTGAAATTTGGCAACTTGAAATTTGGCAATGCAACGTTATTACATGATATTTTTTCTGAGTACAGTTTATAATTCTACACTAGTTTCCATAAAATAGAGAAAGAATTTATCTAATGTTTTATAAGAGGTAAATAGCTTAAAGTATCCAGCCCTTATGTCAATCTTTGTACTTGCTTTATCCCAAAGACATCCTGTAAAGTAGCTGTGAGAATTAGGGCTTATGAAAGTTATCCATGAGTCTATTTTTAGAATTGTCCTATTTGTTCATAGCTCTTATGAATTTATGGAAAACAATGACACTCCTTCCTGTAACATACTTTTCTTTTAAATTGTCAGTTGCCAGAAAGAATTAGTTATTTGACAGCATACGTGATAAGTGAATATAAGAAACCTCAGGAACACAGAGGGGGGGAAAAAACCCAAAGTGTTGAATAGAAGAATGATTAGATGTGATTAGAGGTCCCTGTAGTTTCTTTCTTTACAAGATGGTTATTGACATGCACATACTGTTGATGTTAGCATTTTTCCTATCTGAGAGAGGCATTTACTCACAGTCATTCACCCTTACTGTGTTACCCAGTGCCAAAGAAACAAAGAGAGTTAAAGAATTTATTTAATTCTTTGGGTAAATTCACCAATTTTTAGTTTCAATTCACTTCTCATTCCTCTCTAGAGGTTACAGAATATAATTTGTTTCATTTAAATACCATGCAGCTCATAGAAATATTTACTTACATGATGTTTCTCATATCTACCTTTTGAAAAAGAAGGAAACAAAGAATCAGAAAAAAAGGACTGTAACAGCTAGATTGTTTATTAAAGCATTTCCTTTACCCTTGTATCAAATTTGGGCTCTGTAGATTTTGGTGGGATTTCTCTTGCCTAACTTTAGATGTCTTAAAGCAGAAAGTCCAGAGTGAATCTTATTATTTACTGTTGACATCCATTTTATAATGAAATCAAATCCCTCAGGACATGTCTGTCTTTCCTTTGACTGGTAGAGGACCCTAGGGTGGTGAGTTCAAACTTGACACCTAAGGAGGCAGATATATATCCTGATATCCTGTCACTGGTGTCTTTGAGGGGCCAAAGCAAGTTTCTCTGAATAAATCTCCCAAAGAAATGCCTGGATATTTTTGTAAAAACATAAAAAAGAAAAGAAAGAAGGCGGCATACTAGTCTCAGTCAGAAAATCTGAATTATTTCACTTTTTCACACACAAACTGGCTGAAAAAAATTATCTGAAGGTTCAAACTCCAAAAATGCGAACAATTCCTACGTTTCCACATGTATCTACTAGTTGTGAATATGGGTCTCTGCCTCCAAAATACCTTGTTGAAACTATAATCAATTTATTTTTTTGTAAGGATACTGTCAAAAACTCTTCTCTCATGATCTAACTTGTCCATATCTGACACAAACATGATGTGACTGAATTGCAGTATCAGCAGTATAGCCAATATCTACCAAGGAGATAACAGAAATGCAGAAGTAGAAGCAAAACCAAAATGCCTTGACATGATCACCATTTTTAAAAGACAATTTTGCTAACTGAATAAAGTCTGGAAGATGATGTCTGCAATTATTATGCAAAAAGACAGTTAAAATCTTAATGCAGAGATATAGAAAATTATATTCTGCCTATTAAGAAGAGATTAAAAAAAATCCATCTGCTGACTGATGTAGTTTACTGCATTTCAGATTTTCTTTAAGAGACAAACCTCAGGTATGCACTCTTTTTCTTCATTTTCAGGAGGTCAACACAAGCATCCTCCAGTGTTTTAAGGATACTGAGAGTGATACTGCTACTTCTAATTTCTTTAGGTCCCAAGAAACACACTCTCATATGAGGTGAAATACATTAAATTACACCACATGAATGGGCTTGTATACTGGAATGCAACCAATGTGCATACTTTATAAATGCACTGCTGGAAGTGACTTAATATCACACTGTAATTGAAGAGGTGATGAATCTATAAGGATCATTCATTTCTGAAGATGAATTCCTCTCCAACTTGAGTCACTTGAATTGGATCTGTGCTAAAAAATAACCAGTTTTATCAATAGCCTCAAAAACCAGAAGGGTTATATTAAACCTGAGGTTTAGTCTAAGCAATCCCAATACTGAAGTTCATGTGCTGAAATCTGAATATGCTAAATTGAATCTGGGCTTGGGAACTCTAATTCCTCTACGAACTGATGACGTTCTACATCTTTTTGTTGCCAATTTGGATGGCTGGCCAGAGCCATTTAAAAATGGAACAAGCTGCTGCTTCTTTTCTTGCTAATGCTCCAAGTAGGAATTTTCAATTCAGTTGTTCAATTCAGCTATGAACTATTTGCCTATCCATGAACTTTTAAATTGTATTCATTTGGGTTGTAATTGATACTGATTTATAGTCTTTAACATCTCTTTTATTAAATAATTTTAGGATGACAGTATCCAATGGGTCATGTAAAGACCCATTTTCTTATAAAAGAAATTTCTTTTAAAGAAATATTTCTTTTAAAGAAATTACACTCTGGAAGAATCTAAGAAAATAATCCAAAATCATGTGCTCTATAAAGAACTACCAGTTGCCAATACATCCCTAATTTATGCGCTGCAATTGTCAGGAAACTTAAAGGCAAATTTTTTAATGGCTTTAGTACAGTGAATGTCAGACATTTTGGGTCTTTTTAATAAAAGAATAATAAAAAATACATTTGAGTTAGCAACTTCTAGCATATAGCTTCATAGAACCTTTGGGGATTTATCCTCACAATTAGGTATTTGTCACTTGTCTGTTGTTTTCTCTGTGGCAGATTTTTCAATAGTGAGGGCAATAACATATCTTTACCCTTTCCTCTTCCATAATTTCTGTGAAAGACACTGCAACAGTTAGACATTTATGCTTTTTACCTTGAAGCCAGCACTTGACAGCAAAGAAACAACATGAACTTCATCAGACAGAAATGACAGGCAGCTGAGGTAAAGTTTCTAAACTTTAGATGGCAAAAAGTTTTAAGATTATCTTGAGAATCCACAAGATATTACAAGATTTAGTTCACAGTAACTTCACTTTATCCCATTATATTGAATTTTTCTGGGTAAAATAACACATTTGTGAAATTAATGAGGCAAACATAGTTTATGATAGAAGCACAGCAATAGCATGAAACCTAGGATTAAGAGGTCTACAAACTGAGTATTGGCCCAATGGGTGTGTTTTCCAGAACCTAAACCTTTGTTTTGAACAGAGTTTAATTGGTATGCTTAAAAAAGTAGGGCCTAGTGAAAGAAACTGCTGCTAAGAGAAAAAAAATTGTTTCACTTTCAGTAGAAAAGAATAAAATGATAATACCTTATCTTTACAATGCTGAAATTTGGGTACTGGGATACTTTGAGTCACTAGGTAGAAGAGGAGACAAAAAGTAAAAACAGGAGAAAAGAACTGATTAATACAACCTGTTCTACTTGTAGGAAGAATAAAATATCACAGGACTACAATCAGTGTCAGTAATTTATTGAAAGAAATTAGTAAAACATGTTTCATTTTTTTCCAGTGGATGCTACCACCAGTTAAAACATACTGTGGAATGTTATATTACATGAATAAATCAATATCACTCACATGAAGTAAACTCATATTTTAGTTTTTTATTTACAATACAATGGCTAGCCATTAGAATGCTCTAATGTTAGTAATTTTTGAGTTTTCAGGGATTATATGATCTTAAATGTTCTGTGATCTGTGTATTACAA